GTGTCTCATTCTGTATTTTACAGAAGATGATCTAAGAAATATGGGACCAGTAGATGCTCGAGTATATCTTGAAGAAATGTCTTGGAATGAAGGTTGGAATTATTTTTTTCTCTTGATTACAATCAGGAAAAATATTAGGGACCTCCTATAAGAAAATAACCATAGGATGTTCGGAAATAACAGCTTGGCTTTCTATATATATGTGGGTGTTTTTGTTTGGAATCTTTTTGTTTCATTCTAAACTTCAATTATTGATGTCCACTTATGTGACTCATTTCCAGTTATTTTCCTATCCTAATTAGATGTTAGGTACTTAAGATTTCATATGGTTTTCTTTTTTAAACTACTTTGATTTTTTGTTTACTCTCCATCTGTATAACAGGGAATATAGTCAAAGGAGATAATTTTTTCCATCCTATGTTGACACTTAAGATGAATTCCTATTAGAATATATGTTTATTTTTGTTTCTTTATATGGAATGATAAATTGTCAGAGCAAGGATTTTAATGTTATACATGTTATACTCTTCTACTTGGAGCTTGATGTTTAACCTCCTTTTTTGATTGTGTCTTAAGTGGAAAAGAAAAATCTGTCACTCCCTTTTACCTACCATGAAGTCATATCTTTTTCCCCTTTCCTATTAATAGAATTTAAAAACTTAAATCTAACTTAATTTTCCATTCTTCAGATTAGTTCTGTGAATTGCTCTGGTTAGGTTTTATTAAGTTCCTTTTTTTTAAAATGGAAGCCATGAATACCACAATTACATGTTTCTCTGGGCAAATGAAGAAGTCTTACTGTTTTCTAGAATTTTATATACTCAGTCCTATAACTGTATTATTCAGCCTGGGGTACAGATTCCCTGGGTGTTCATAAAAATTTATTAGTGTGTGTGGATAAGTAGAAGATAAACAGCCTGTCCTTTCCGAAACCAAGTTTACTGGAATATTTTTTAATGGCAAATTCTTAGCTTAGTGCTCTTAGGAAGCTGGGTCACAAAGCTATATTGACTTAGAAGGGGAATCATGTTTTTGCCTATGAGCCACTCTGCTCCTAAACTGCCAAATGAAATCCTGGAGTAGAAATTCTTATTTGCAGTGAATGACTGGAAAACTTGAGATTTTGTGTAACTGGGGCTCCCGGGGTTCATGATAGTTTCATCAGAGTAAACAGGAAGAGCTACTGCTGTGAAAATAGAATACACTAGTGACACTGATTTCACTGCTACTTTGTGAAGGGGATAGATTAGAACATGTTTATCAGGGAGACTTGCCCAGCTCAATAATATTTTTTGAAAATACAGTATTGCCAGCTTATCAACCAGTATATGTGTGTGTGTGTCCATCTCTTATTGGACAAATTAGTTGTTCTTGTTGTAGTTGATACGACTAATATGTTTTGTTACTAATAATTCCTGATAATATTAAAACAGTGAAAACTGGTTTTTGTAATTTTTACTTCTTTAGTAAAATTTTAAAAATATAATCAATTTAAGATTTTATTTTAAATTAAGACTGTGGATTAGTGTGGTTCAAGCATCTGTTCAGTCAGCAAATACATGGGCTTTTTGATAACAAGTGAAAATGCCAAGACATTGAAAGACATATACAACATGAAATCAAGAATTATCATAAATGTTATTGTCCTTGGTACTCCCTAAAGTAAACTTGACAGTGAAGACGATAAAGAAGCATCCCAGCTACAGCCAATGAATCAGTTATAAGCAGCTACAGTTCATCTTAAAAGTATAGGATGTTCTTAGATACTTATTTAAATTAAGGGTTTTTTATCACTGTAAAGATAGAAATAGTCCTTATCCTTATGAGAGAAAATAGTGAGTAACAGCTACATGAAGCTATTATTTTTGCAGGAATGTTTAGAAACTGGTCATGTGAGTTTTGCAGTTGAATTTGCAATTTGGAATTGTTCTGTGCGATTGCAAAGAGCAGCCTTGGCAGATGAAAGTACATAAAAAGTGTGATCAACTGGACTAGCAAAAGCATTTGATGATTCCTTCATGGGAGCTTTCAGAATAACCTTGGAAGGTGAAGATCCAGAATAGGAGAAAAGTGGATGAAATCCTACATGATAAACATAGCCAAATTATCAGCTTCTGGGTCCAGGAACAGTAGGAAATGATGCATACTATGCTTAAAAGGCATACCTGAAGAACTATTGAGACTGAAGTTGGCCATTCCCCTTACAGTTAGTCTTTTACACAGCTTGGTTGTTTTGTCTTCATTCAGTGTATTTAAAATTATGATTTCTGTGAAGATATCACTTTAAGTGATAGTAGAATAATTTAAGAAGAAATTTAAAAAGATGTGCGTTTTAGTGAGCATTAACATTTGGAATCATCTATGACAAAACTCCACAGAAGCCCATGGTGGCCTCTGCATCATTTACCAAGCACATGTCACCTCAAATTGTTTCTCATTGTTCACTGAGGTGGTGATAAAACAAGAGGGAGATTTAGCTCCAGAAAACCAATGGTTAGAATATGTATTTCTAGACAATTTAATAATAGTTCACTTTGAAAGCATGCTCTATTACACATATATGTTGGCTCAGATAGGGAAGATGTTAGTGTTTTAAAATTCAAGATTAAATTATTTTTCTTTATAGAGAAAAAAGACATTGTGGTGAAAAATGAAAAGCAGGATTGTGAATTAATGTTTTCCTTACTGATAAAATAAACATGTAAAGCTGGCTTATTTAATTGCTTGTTTTTCCAAGACCAAAGTTGATTAGAGAACAAATCCAAGGCAGTTGAATATTTTTTTCTTTTCTTTTCTCTTCTTTTCATGGCATATGATGAGATCTAAGTGTTAAAAAATGAAGTTTGAGAATTGAATGAAGATATTTGATTGTAAGAAATTATATCTTTAGAGATTTAGTTCATTTATCTCTAATTTTTTTTATGACAGTAGTAAAATAATGAGATCAGTAATTACTTTTCTTTGACAGTCACTCCTCAGTGACAGTAAAATGGAATAACCAGTGGATCAGAGATTCTTTCAGCGAAAAGACAAAGTATTTCAACTTCCTAGGAAGATGAAACTTATAAAATTTCCCCCATTCGTAGGCAGAACGTTGCACCATATTGCCTCCTTCGGGCATCTCACTTCAGTGATTGTCCTTTTGGTTCCTAAATCATTTGTAAACACCAAACAAACAGGTACACACACATAGCCCCCACAGAAAGGACACCATGGTATATGTCTATACATTTAAGTCAGGATTCTTGAAATAGTGTGATACCAGAACAGACAGGATTCAAATGCTGAACCTGATAAACAGTCAAGTCAGCAGTTTCCTCTGAAAGGATATACTCCTGGCAAAGGCATGCTCCTTAACAATAAGACAGGTAGGGCTGTTTCTCTTCTTCCTTCACAGTAATATTTTAGACAACCACATTGTTCAGAAGAATGTAAAATTTACATGAATCTTAAGAAAACAGAAGACTTCAAATAAATTTCATTGGTCACTTCTGAGCATCTGCTCTCCCCTACAGGATCTTTGGTCTATTGTTTCATACCCTCAGTACATTTCCTCCACAGATAAAGAGTTTTTAGTAGATAGTTTTTAGAAACACTGCCCCTGTACGAGAAATTTTTTCAAGTTCTCATTTAAATATATTTTATATTGACTGATCTTTTTTCTTCCGCAGTTCCTGTGGAATGGCTGCAGTTTTTCAGAGGTGTTAACGAAGTAGTTCCATGTAAGCGTTTTGTTTTCTTTGCAGATGATCGTTCCTTTTCTCTGAGTTGTCGATGTGGTGGAAAATACAGTGTTCCCAAGGATGAAGCAGAAGAAGTGACGCTGATTTCTTGTGATATGTGTTCACTAGTTATAGAACTCCTTCATTATCGCTGAGATTGTTCACTAAGTGGAATTCTTTAGTGTATTCAGACACATGGAGGAAAATCTACTCCACCTTTGTCCATTCAAGCAAATGTATAAAGCTGATTAAAAAAAAAAAGGATTCTTTTTTGTCAGCTCTATCATTTGCAGAGAAAATATAAGACTGTCGAAGTCCACCTAGATTAATAGAAAATTCATTTCATTATTCATATGTATTTACATTTTATATTTACAGATTGCTAAGAAAGGGGGCTTGAATTAAAAATTATATTTAGTGAATTCCCATCTGAGAAGTTTATTATTGGTGCATTTTCTCCTTGGTACAAAATATAAGAATTTTCCTTTCTTCATATAAGTGTGTCTCATCTTTTAATGGGTCACAGTATCATCATATTCCTTTATAGTTGCTAAGTTTTTTAAGTAACATATTTCTAGCTGCTAAAGTTATAGGCCTTTTGTACAACTATTTCAAATCTCAGGTCATTAGAATTAAGTTAGAATCTTCATGAATAACATGTGAGCCTAGGTCTCCCATGATGAAGGCTGGATATGGATATTCATGAGTTATTTCAAAGTTAATAAAGTGAAATGGCAACCGGAGAAAGAAGGAGAGCCTTGGAGTCAGAAAACCGTGGCCACTGCGTTGCTGGTATGATGAAGTGGACTTTTTTAATGTGTTATTATTGATTATAGTAAAGCTTTTATTTTTCTATATATTTAATATTCTATGAGTCAGAACTCATTTAAAAAATTTTAAGGAATCCTTTATGGGATCACTGAAACATTCTTCCTTAATTTCAAATGAGTAAGCCAAGCATGTGACTTAGCAGCTTTTTATTAGGTCAAACTCTTGGTTTATTGTTGGTGTGGACTTATAAGACTAGTTAGTACTCTGCCTTGTAAATGCAGCTAAAGTATGAGGCATATTCAAGAGGAGTAAATTACTTTCCTTATACCTATACAACCAAAAATTGGAAAGTGAGGTTTTTCCAGGTTTTCCCTAAAAATATTTTCGTATCAGAATTTAGATGACTTATTTTGGATTACACTTTTATCCATATATTTTGAACAAATATAGCTTGCAAGAGTGTGTGTTGCTTATTCTTTACATTTAACAATTAAAAATAACTCAAACTGAATAGCAAATAGTTTATTAGTAAGTACATGGTTTTCAGTGACAATAAATTCACTTTAGCAGAAGACAATAATCAAATCAAAAGAATAAATGCTTGCTAATCATCAGAAAATCTGTGGCCATTAGGGCTGTCACGTAGAAATCCAAAATCACTCAGAGGCCAAATCTGTAAAATGAAAATGTGATTGAAGACAATTAGTAAAGTGATATTATAGCATCATCCTATTCCCTTCTTTTTTTCATTCATCCCTTTCTCTATGCCGTATAATTAAATGCTTTCTCCTTATTCTTCAATCAAGAACAAATTTTCTACTTCAAAATAAGACTGTAGAAAGTAAACCTGTATGTGTATGTATTTAACTTCTAAAGTTTGGAACATTCAATCATTATACTAGAAAATAATATGTGTGTAGTGTGTATATGTTTGTTTTTTCTTTCACTATCGTCAGAGTTAACTGTAAACCTACGTACTTGAATATAACATCTGCTTAAGTGTAAAAAATCCTGTAAATTATCCAACAGCCCCAAATACTCATGTCTGTTTTTCTCCTGACTGCTTGTGGCAAAAAGGAAAAGCCAGTGAAAACAATAACCTTTACTATTACATTTACTACAACCATGATAAGTGCATTACTCACTATACTTAACTGGGATATCCCTGCATTCCAGCTAGTTGCTAGATTGCTCTTCTGCAAATGCATATTAATATATGCCCTGGGTATGAATATGGTTGGAAAAGTTGTATGAGAGAAAAGTAAATTTTTGGAGAGTCAAATTAAAAGCTTCTTATGCTACAACTAATCTGAACTTTATTTTTCAAACAAAAATTATTCTCAATTACCTGTCATAATGGGGGAGTGGTAATGTTTATAGCTATGAAGGCCAACATGTTCATAAAGTGTAGTAGTCATTGCAACAGTTTTACATCCACTGACAGCCTAAAGATTTCAGTTCTTCTGAGAGGAACTTTTTTTTTTTTTTTGGTTTTGTTTTTTTTCCCAGCTCGGAGAAGAAAGCCTGCATTTTAAGCAGAAAACAGTAGTACCTTAAAGAAGATACGTCCTCTTATTAGTCCATATGGAACAGGTCCATAGTACCTGGAATCTGTAGAATTCTGTAGATTATCACCTTCTAACCACACATGACCTGTTGGCACCTAGAATTATAGAAGAAAGCAGCCCCTTTAAAAAAGAAAAACAAATCTGGGTACTATAAATAAAAAATCATGTCTTTTGGAGGTAGGGAGAAATGTCCTAAAGTTCTCTTTTATAAAATACATTCAAACCCTATAATTTGCATTTTTGCTGTTATTTCTTGCATAATAAAATAACTTTTACTAAATATTAATAAGTAGTATTAATATTTCAACTTTTTAAAAGACCTATCTTTTTGGCCATATGGTTCCCAAACATTAATTTGTTATGCAAACCCCAAACTGAGGTTATAAGAGATCAAAACAGTGTGACAGGGTCATTAATTTAATAGACTTCAAAAGAGGTCATTAGGATGCCGACTGAAAATGTGCCCTCCTGTCTCAATAACAGCATAAGCAGGGCAGCCACTCACTCAGCAACATCCTGGGGCCAATACCAAGGCCAGACCTATTAGAATGCTCATGATGAACTAAATGGTAATTGATTGTGACATCAATTACAAATAATCTCATCATTTTATTGGAGTGGGCTTGTCAGAATTCTAATTAAGATCCTTGTTCTGCCTTTGTACAGGCCATATCTTCAATGCATTATACTTCAATAATGACCATCAAGAACTAGAAGGACCTATTATAAAATCATCAGTTGTAAAATTAATGATGGTGACCTTCTACTAAATGAAAAGATCCCATCTTCTATATGTCCTGTGTATTAACTGGGATATAGCATAAATTTAAATTTTTACTCAGTGACAATCCTAAGTATATTTAGGACAGAACACATTACTTACAAAAATGCCCACTGTGATATGAGATATTTGCCCGTTAATGTCTGTTCGATATAAACTTTAAAAATTACTCTTCAGTAACAATCTTCAAAATTGCATTTTAAAGTTTCTTTTTTATAGGTTTCGTTACCCAAGAAAGTTGAATTATTGACCAGACCAAAATGATCTATGGAAAGGAATTAATTTTCACTATTCTTTTGACTGATTATTACTTGGAAACCTTATGTGAAGAAAAATATTCATATTAGGTTTAATAAGAAATGACCAGTTTTTTAAAATGTCACAAAATTTTTAAAAACGACTTTTAGAGCAGTTTTAGGTTCACAGCACAGCTGAGAGGAAGGCACAGAGATCTCCCATATACCTCCTGCCCCCACTCATGCACAGCCTCCCCATTACATCCCCACTAGAGTGGCATGTCTGTTACACTGACATCATCATCACCCGAAGTCCCATGGTTTACCTTAGGGTTCACTCTTGGTGTTGTACATTCTATGAATTTGGACAAATGTATGACATGTATCCACATCACAGTACCATACACAGTATTTTCACTGCCCCCCAAATCCTCTGTGATCTGCCTATTTATTCTCCCCCCCATCACCCCTGAGTTACCTTTTGGAAAAATAAATTTATACAAGCATGTAAAATTTGAATTACACTTTATTTAGAGATTATATAATTTTGAAATATATAATTTTGGAATGTCTTATATCATGTAGAAATATTAGCCAAAAATGAATCAAGTTACTTATTTTCATTTAGATACACTTAAATGTTAAATCTATTTGTAGAGTAAGGATAAAGTTTTTTGAAAGAATATCAGATATTGTAAGATCATTAACTTCTACTAGTGGAACTAGTTGTAGGTTCTAGGGCTAATAGCAAGGTTCATTCCTACCTATATAATAAGTAGACTTATATGTAGTGAAGCATAAGGCTGCTCAAATAGAAAAATGAGTACATCTCAGGTTACAGATGAAAAGAACAAAATAGTGTATTTGGAAAAGGTAAAATAAGTCATTAAATATATTCTGAAGTACTGCCTTGGGAGAAACTACAATGTGAACATCTTGGGTGTCTAAATTTCCATAGTTTTTCCTTAATATGTGTTTGTTCCTGAGTTCTAAAAATAGGTAACATATACGAATAGTTAAAATACAATTATAAAGTTAGGGACACCAATAAAAGCAAAGGAGAACAAAAATCAAAAAACGAATAAAGATACTAACAATCCAGCAAGATCTTCTTTTGCCTGTCCGATTGATCCAATATACATTTCCTTTCTCCATGAAGCTTTTCCCTATGTTGCCTGCACATACCAAATACTCTAGATTGTTTAAAACACTTAAAGTCTGCCCTACATGGGGCTCTGGAACATAACATCCTCTTACATGCTTGGCTTTTGTGTATGTCTACTATTTTATGACTGAAAAAGCCAACAGACAATAATCATGTCATGATCTTAAATCTTTACAACACCTAAACCAATGTTGGAACTCAAATATTTGTTGGTGATTAGTATTAGTTAAGTAGAAATTCTTGTAAAGCACAATCACTTTTGTGGCAGTTATGACCTAAGTTTCTTCCAAATTTAGATAAATACAGTGATGAAGTATTATCTCTGGTATAGTAAAGTTAACAAGAACAGAAAGGAATCTGCTAAGAGAGACCCAGAACATACCACCAGAAACCTTTGGAGGAGTGTGACCCAGGCTGTTCACACCTAGTCCTTGACTGCAAGGGGTGGAACAAAAGGGAGGAATAGTAACACAAACTAGTGTTTATACATACTTTTCTGGTCATTTTAATTTAAACAAACACACATTTGATCCTTAAAACAACCTGTGAAGTACAGTTACTGACATTTAACAGAAGTAGGTTCAAATATGGAACATGCTACCTCTTACTTACCTGAAGCCCATATATGCTAATACCCATGCATCCATTCATAGCAAAGGAATAACCTTTACATCTTAAGACTTCAATGTTTGATATAAAGTACAGACACAAGGAAACAACCTCATCACTGATGGTACCTTTGATAAGAGCTTCTCTATAAATGGGAAAACCTCTGAGTGTGAGTCTTAAAATCAAAGCAGTCACCTTTGCTGATCTACCTCTCTGTCACTTATTTTCCCAGTAAAAAATTCATTATGTTTGCAGTTACTCCACTTTTGAAACATACTTATTTTTGATATGGGGTAAGGGTGTACACTTTAAAATCAACTTTAGAGGTATACTTTACAGTAAAATGTGCTCATTTTGTTTCGACACTAGTTTTGAAAAATGTGCATTCCTGTGTAACCACCAACCACAATCAAGATGTAGAACATTACTACTATGCCCAAAAGTTCCCTCCTTTTCCAGTCCACCTCCCACCCTTACACCTCGTCCCAGGCAACTAGTGATCTGTTTCCTGTTTACTAGAGACTAGTTTTACTAAAGTTCATATAAGTGAGATTGCACAGTACATAGTATTTTGTGTCAGGCTTTTGTTCAGCAGTTTTTAAACGATTAATACATGTTGTATGTATGAGTCATTCATTGCTTTTTACTGCTGAGTATATCCCATTGTAAATCACAATTTCTTTCCATGAACCTGTTGATGGATATTTGTGTTGTCTGCAATTTTGGGCTGTTAATAAAGCACTATGAACGTTCATGTATAAGTCTGTTTCTTTTCAGTAAATATGTAGGGGTAGAATTTCTGGGTCATAAGTGTACGCTTAATCTTAAACTTTTCCAAAGTAATTATACCATTTTACACTCCCAACAGCAATGTATGAATGTTTCTGTTGCTTCACAACCTTGGTATTTTCAATTAAAAAAATTTTTGCCATTCTAGTAGGCTATTGGTGTCACATTGTGGTTTTCATTTGCATTTCTCTGATAAGTATTTTTTCTTGTACCTATTAGTGTATATTTTGTGAAATGTCTATTTAAATATTTTGCCCATTTTTAAAATGGATTATTATTATTCATTTTAAGAGCCCTTTATGTATCTTGAGTACAGGTCCTTTGACAGGTATTGCAAATACTTCTTCCCAGTCTGGGATCTTTTCTTTTGCAATTTTTAATCTGCTGTAAAGACGATATATTTTTAGGCTCTAGAAATTTCACTTGGTTCTTTTTTATATTTACCATTTCTCCCTCATTATGTTCATCCTCTAGATGCCTGAAAATATTTATAATTGGTGTTTTAGAGCACATGACTGTTAATTCCATTATGTCTCATTTCTGGATCTGTTTTTCTTCTAGTTGTGGGTTACATTTTCCTACTTCTTCACATATCTAATAATTTGTTTTTGAGCTGAACATTCATTTGTCGAGTGGATTTTGTTCTCTTTTTAGAGAGCATTGAATGTTGAAGAGGTCTGTTTGGTTTTTGTAAGTTAGCTGTGGAACAGCTTATTCCTGTCAAGCCTTGTTTTTAAGCGCTGGGTCTCTCTCACACTGTAAGGGCTAGTCTAGCCCACTCCTGAGGCATGATATTCCAGGGTCTCTACGGAATGCTCTAGATATTTAATGAGATCTGTCCACTGTGGCTGGTCAGAACTCAAATGACTCAGCCCTGTGTGAGCTCTGGGAATTGCTTGGCTGCTGCCAATAGCTGTTTGGTGCTCAGTCTCTAAATTTCACCATAAGCAGGCACAGTTTAGTGTTCAGCCCCAAAACCAAGAGAATACTCTACACAGATTGCTGGAGATCATTCTGTAGCTCTTTTTTCCCTGGTGGTTTGATGCATAAATTCCAACCACTTAAACTTCCCTATACCCTAATCTCTGTCTCTTCAACTCAGCAAGACCACTGTCCTTTGTTTGAATTTTCCTCCTCGCACCTTCTGAAAACTGCTTTAAGGCAGAAGTTAGGGAAAGTATAAGGCTTGCCTTGTTTGTTTCCCTGCTCTCAGGAATCCGTCTTGTACTGCCTGCTGCGCATTGTCTGAAAACTGTTTCACATAGTTTGTCCAGTTTTCTAGTTCTTTATGGCAGGAGGGCAAGTTCAGCCGCAGTTACTCCATAATAGCCAGATGTTCAAAGTATCTAATATTTAAAGTCTTATTTTTTAGCATACCTCATAACAATATGAAGAAAATCCTTTTGGTGAGAACTAAAGTTCTTGATGTAAGTAAAGTGTGCCTTTGGCATCTCTGCCTTGCATCCCCTTCAGTGGCATGCCCTGTGTGTCCTCATTTTACCCTTTCCCTATCAA